AAAATTCAGTTCACAGAAATGCAGAGTATGAGAGGACTGGTCCTTCTGCTCTTACCAGCTACCCTCTGCCACCCCCAGCCCATCCTTAGCCAGCAGGTAAACCTACTGGAAAGGAACAAGAAATCTCTCTCCAAATCCATGAATGAACATTGAATTGGACATATCGGGAGAGCTAGTAGCAGGCCCTGCCATGAGACTTCAGGCAGAACCTTCTGAAGTTTGCTAGTGGTAGGGATCAATAATAAATAAGGGGGTGGCGTCTGTGGCTCAGAGGAGTAGAGCACCAGCCCCATATGCCAGAGGTGGTGGGTTCAAACCCCAGCCCCGGCCAAAAACTGCAAAAAAAAGGAATAAATAAGGAAGGGCCAGAGGTGTAAGTATAAAAAAAGTGAGACCTGTTGGCCTACCTCTTCCATCTTAAGTTTACTCTATAAACATTAACATGTGGCACCTGTGGCTCAGTGAGTAGGGTGCCGGCCTCATATACTGAGGGTGGTGGGTTCAAACCCAGCCCCAGCCAAACTGCAACAAAAAAATAGTCAGGCCTTGTGGTAGGCGCCTATAGTCCCAGTTACTTGGAAGGCTGAGTCAAGAGAATCACCTAAGCCCAAAAGCTGGAGGTTGCTATGAGCTGTGATGCCACAACACTCTAGCAAGGGTGACAAAGTGAGACTCTGTCTCTAAAAAAAATTAAAAACAAAAAAAAATCTGGAAAGTTCTGATTGAAAGGAAGCAAGTGCTATTACCAATTATGCCAGGTCAATGGGCATAAATGCAGATTGTTCCTCAGTGAACCTGATCATATGATCACCCTGATTATAGGTCTGCATTACCCACAAGCAGAGGGCCATGAGCACTTAGGTTTTGGGGGCCAAGGGGTGGAGTGGGACAGGATGGCGTCAGTTAAGTGGGCACACTGGGGGGTGCTTACTTATTCTTGAAGTCCTCCACCAGCCCCTGCATGTTGCCAAGCTCTGCCTCCAGCTTCAACTTCTCCTGGCCCAGTGTGTCCAGCTGTCGCCGAAGGTTGTTGATGTAGCTTTCAAACATGCTATCCATGTTGCTGCGAGCTGTCTTCTGCTGCTGCAGGAGGTTCCACTTGGTCTCCAGCATCTTGTTCTGCTGCTCCAGGAAGCGCACCTGTATAACAGAGGAGAAAGCAAAAAGGTCACATCCCAGAGGGAAGCAAGCACTGGTCTTTTCCCCCTAGTCACTCCCCAAACAGTGAGGTCTCTGGAACTCAGGACCTGCTTAGCCAGTCTGGAAGGATCACCCATGACCAGCAGGAGAATGCACAGTGAGATGTTGAGAGTGAGCAGGGCAGAGAGCAATGTCCCTCTGCCATTGGAGGAGGGGAGGGTATGATTGGAAGTCAACAGCTAGAGAAGTTATGTCAAAGCTGCATTTGTGCAATCAGTGTAATCTGGTTTCTTGTACCCTCAGTGAATCCCCAACAATAAAAACAAACTAAAAAAAGAAAGCTGAATTTGCAGGACAGGTCGTATTTACATTGATTATACATTATTAGAGATCAATAAAAACAGCAAAGCTTTCTAAGATCCTTTGCTTTTCACTTTTCTTTTTCTTTTCTTTCTTTTTTTTTTTTTTTTTTTTTTGAGACAGAGCCTCAAGCTGTCCCTCTGGGTAGAGTGCCGTAGCATCACAGCTCACAGCAACCTCCAACTCCTGGTCTCAAGCAACTCTCCTGCCTCAGCCTCCCAAGTAGCTGGGACCAAAGGCACCTGCCACAACGCCCAGCTATTTTTTGGTTGCAGCAGTCATTTGGCAGGCCGGGGCTGGACTCGAAACCCACCACCTTAGGTGTATGTGGCTGATGCCTTAGCCACTTGAGCCACACTTTTCTAAAGCTAGTATCTCGCTCTGTCACACAGGCTGGAGTACAGTGACACTAACAATTTTAACTAACTGCAGTCTCAAACTCCTGGGCTCAAGTGATCTTCCTGCCTCAGGCTCCCAAAGTGCTGGGACTGCAGCTGTGTGCCACCACACCTGGCTTGCTTTTACTTTACAGAAAATTGAAAAAGAAAATGTAAACGCCAGTCACAGTGGCTCACATTTGTAATCCTAGTACTCTGGGGAGTCTGAGGCAGGTGGATTGCTTGAGCTCATGAGTTCGAGACCAGCCTGAGCAAAAGCAAGATCCCATCTCTACTAAGAATAGAAAAACTGAGGCAAGAGGATCACTTGAGCCCGAGGTGGAGATTGCTGTGAGCTATGACGGCACAGCACTCTAGCTAGGGTGACAACTAAAATCTGTCTCAAAGAAAGAAAGAAAAGTAAAATGTTCACATCAAACAATATCATTATCGTTATTTGGAGTGACTCTGAAGGACTCATGCAAATGACAGGAAAACTTGAGCCTTGCTACCACCAACCTGTGAGGCATAACCTTAAGTTGGTTGCCTCCCCTCTAGAGCCTGGGTCTCCTCAAACCGGCAGGGGCCTCGAGTTCAGGCACGCAGGCCCGTTCAGGGGCCTCAACTCTGTACAGGAGTCACTTTCAGCAGGGGAAAAGGCAGGAGACTGTCTGCAAACCAAAGAGTCATCCCTCCCCGTTGAGATTCTGGGGGTCTCTTCACCCAACTCTTGCCCCTGAATCCATAGTCTTCCCTCCTGCCCCAAACACAAAGGCCCTGGGCTCCTTGGGTTCATGGAATCCTGACCTTAGGATGAAATTAAGGATGTTAGAGGGGAATTTTTATAAAATAAACAACAGACTTATTCCAAGAAGAGGAATGCATTTTCTTAGTCAACTCAAAGTTGTAACTCTTTTTAAACTGGGGAGACTTGGAAGAAAATGTCTTAAAAATATAGTCTAGTTTCCACAGCCCCTCTCTCCAAATCCCTTTCTTCTCCAGGTTATTGTGTCCCAAAAGTATAAAAAATAATAGTGATTATAACATTTTACCCTTATGGAATGCTTAATGTAGACCAAGAGTTACTAAGCTCTTTGCAGACATCCTATATTCCTATATCCCATATTCATCCTGTATTCATCCTATATTTGAATACGCAAAAACTCTTCGATTTAGGAATTCTTGTGTCCATTTTATAGATGAGGAAATAAGACTTAGCAAGGGGGTCCTCCCCGGGACACGGCACAACAGAGGGAACCTGGAATTCGAGCGAGGAAGCGAGGAATCCGCTCGCCGGTGCTTGCCTGCGCTCTGGCTGAGGGCCCCGGACCTACTAGAACTCGGGCATAGTTAAGTCGGGAGCGCTCCAAGAGCCAAGGAACCAGCAGGTCCCGCATAAGGACACGGCAGGGCCGGGTTCCCGGGGGACTCCAGCTCCCGCGGGCGCTGCTCTGCTCCAGGACTTCCCGCCTCCCGTTCCCACAATGCCTGCCAGGAGCCCGGGGCCCCGGCTCCGGAGGCTGCAGAGCCCACGGCTGCAAACCCCGGCCTGGCTCCTCCTCCGCCAACTAGGAGCCAGGCCGTTGGGGCGGAGCCGGGGTAGGAAGAGTGAAAGGGGTCAAGGGCCGAACAGGACAGGGGCGTGGGTGAACCCACGCCTTATCGGAAGCCGCAAACTCTGGGGTTTAACAGGACGTGAAACATGGGCGGGGTGCCCAACGCCCGCAGACTTTGAATCTTGGATGGGCTTCCCAAAGGCCGGGTCCCAGCGTCTCCCCACCCCACCCTCGACGCTGAGAGCTCAGCCAGGTAGAGCCGCGCGTCGGAGAAAGCGACAGCAGCCCCGCACCCAGAGGCTGGGGCCCGTCCCCGCCCCGCGCGGCCCCGCCCACACTGCGGGCGCCTCAGGGAGGGGCCAAGTTATGACTCATCTTGGTGCCCCCCACACTTACGCCTCCGGGTACCAAAGGCCTCGATCAATATTTGCCCGTTTGAATCAAGACATCGACTTCCTTCTAGAATCCTATCAAACCCCCGTTAAAAAACAAAAAAAGAAAGGAAAAAAATCACAGGACACCACTGGACACTGGGGAGCCCTCGGGGGAGAGCTGGGGAGAGGAGTGAACCAGGAGGGATTCCCTTCCACCCCTCCCACCCCATAGCCAGCAGCTGGACCTACTTGGGGCTCACAGACCGATCAGAACTCTGGTTGGAGTGAGGTGGGTAAGGGAAGGAAGTCCCAGGATTTAGTAACAAGACGTTCAGACCCTCTCCCCATCCCGCCCTCACCCAAGCTAAAGTGTATGGGGAGGAGCGAATCCTAGGTGGGAAGGGAGCGTGTTGCTGGGTGGAGTGGGGCCAGCTGGAGGCCAGTGAGGAGTGGAGATGAACCCACCAGGAGGGGTCAACCAGGAGGAAGAAAGGGTGAAGACCATCATCGGGCCTAGGACACAGCCAGGGAGGGGACCCTCACCTTGTCGATGAAAGAGGCAAACTTGTTGTTGAGGGTCTTGATCTCCTCCTTCTCCTGGGTGCGCACGGCCTGAATGTTGGGGTCCACCTCCAGGTTGAGCGGGCTCAGCAGGCTCTGGTTCACTGTGACGGCTGTGATGCCCCCCATACCTCCAGCCCCGGCGTAGCCTCCACCCAGACCCAGGCCGGTGCTCAGGCCACTCCGGAAGCTGCCGCTGCCCACCCGAGAGAAGCTCGAGGAGCTGATGCGGGCACCGGGCCCACTGCTGTATGAGCGGCTGCTGAAGGCCCGTGGGGCGGAGGTAGACACCTTGTAGGACTTCTGGGTAACCCTGATGGACATGGTGAAGACTGGAGTAGAGGCAGGTGGGCCAAAACAGAGTTTGGAGTAGGAGCGAGAATCTGCTTCTAGATGGCAGGACACCTCCCAGGGATGGCCTTTTATAAAAGAAAGTCCAGCCCAAGAGGAGGGGGAAAGGCCTTGTACCTGAGTGGCTAGGCTCAGAGGGGGCTGGACCTAACCCGACACCTGCCACCTCCAGGCAGGACTCAGGTGGGGGCAGCAGAGAGCTGCTCCCACCCAGGAACCGGCTCCAGCCCAGTGGCCCCCTGCATAACCACCTCGGGAACCCAGGAAAGAGTAATTTGGTGAACGTGAAACTGAAAGAAAGGAATCTACTTGGCCTTACCAGAGCCCCTGGAACTAGAAGATTTGCCTGGGGTCACCCAGCCACTAGAACTCTCATTCCTAGACTTGTCCCCTTCCCTCTGGTGGGAATAAACTAGAGGACTGGGAAGCATGGCAAGAAAGGATCCCCTGGCTTCCTCTGAACAACTGATACCCCCAAAGACCTCCTCCAGTGTTCTCCCTGATTTAAGTGACTATGAGGGTCTACCCAGGCCGGATGACAAAGCCTCTGGATCCAGAGCCTTGAATCAAAGGTCAGCCATTTGCCTCATTTTTCCAGATTTCTCTTTTACCCTCTTGCAGTGCAAAAAGGAGTTGGGCAAATATTTATGGAATGAATGAATGAACACACATGCACACGCACACTCTGGCTGTCTTCCTGTGAGATTGTACCTGCAAGATAAAGAAAGATCCAACACAGCACTTTTCCTGGACATAACCCAGTGCCTCCTCTCCTCCAAGATCCCAGAATTCTCCACTGAGGCCTTGCTGAAGGGAACAGAGAACGAATAACAGGGACTGAGAGGCAGAGAAGGCAAGAGGGGAGAGTAGCTGCATTGGGGGTCTTCATTGTTCTCACTGGGGGGGGGGGTGAATTCCCCTTGTAATCATTCCCATTGCTCCTGGGGAGTGAATCACAGGAAGTAAGACAGAACGATGGGAGGTGGAGTAGAGTGGAGTGGCATTGGTTATGCCACCTGGACCCTACTTCTCCTCATTCCAGACCCCCAACTGGCCAGAGACAGAGAAAGCTCCCCTCTGCACCTGTCTCTTTGATCCCATTATCAGAGTGAGTCAGGAGAGCAGGCTAGAACATAGCATGCACCTCCAAGAGATTAAAGAATAGGGAGCAGAGTGAGGCACCCCAGGCCTGGGTGGGACCGGGTGGGGCAGGCTGTGGGAGGAAGGCAGGAGGTTTGAGTCCCCAAGGCAAAGATTCCACCTGCAATTACATGGCTGGGGCTGGACTCCCTGGAAGGTATTACAGCGTGTGACATGAGGACTGGATGGATCTTAACTGGGGGTTCAAAAGATATACTCCTAGAACCCCTAGAGAAAAAGGTCAGGTGGCACAAAGCCGCAACCCAAGGAAGAGGTAACCACCTACTAGGAGGACAGATGGACAGATTCCTCTCCATCCTTCTCTAGGAGAGACACCCAGGCTTCCAGAAGGACAGACACACAAGAACTGTATCCAGAAGGACCCAGAACTCTACCTAGAGGTCCAGAAACCCCTTCCTTGGGAGAAGACAAAAACCCAAAAGGCAACATACAAGTTCTCTTCACAGTGTGTGCATATCACTTTGAAGTCCCTTCCAGAAGCCAAATCAGAGATCCCTAGAGGGGACACAATGGCAGCATCTTTTTTTTTTTAATTTCTTTTAATTTGTCTTTTTCATTTTATTTTATTTTTGGCCAGGGCCGGGTTTGAACCCGCCGCCTCTGGTATATGGGGCTGGTGCCCTACTCCTTGAGCCACAAGTGCCACCCCGGCAGCATCTTTCCTTCCCACTCCTCCCCCCTTTTCTTCTCCCCACTCCTGCCCAGGCCTTGGCCTCTGGAAGCGCTGAAACTGGCCAGGGAAGAGAAATCCAGTTAGTACCTATTTACACCAGGCTCTCTCCCAGCCCCTTTAAACAATGGTTAATTTTCCAGAGAATGATTTGAATGTATGCCACCCCCTCCCCAATAAACACCCCCACCCAGCAGGGAAGAGAGACTTCTCCTTCCAGAAGACCAAAGGGAGGGGGGATGGGCCCAATGCCAAACCCAGGACGGTGAAGGTGGAGGGAGGGAGGGAGGGGCTGGTCAAACAGGTATAGCAGCCCTGGGAAGGAAGGACAATGTGCTTTCTTTCTTCCTCTCCACCATGCGGTTGTTAGAGGAACCTGGGGGGAGCTCAGAGGGGAGAGACTGCACCTAAGGTTCCCATTTATAGCAGTCAAAAGCCCTTCTTAATACTTGGGAGGCTGAGGCAAGAGAATCACTTAAGCCCAAGAGTCTAAGGTTGCTGTGAGCTATCATATCATAGCACTCTACCCAGGGTGACAGCTTGAGACTCTGTCTGAAAAAAAAAGAAAAAGAAAAAAAAAAGCCCTTCTTGAAATCTCAGCCCCCTCCACCCCACCTATCTGGCTTCCTGGTTCTAGGAGTGTCTGTTGTTTAAGGTGAGGACAAAGGGGGCTGCAAGGGATGCTGTAATGTGCATGCTTGAGGGCTGACTCAGCCTCACCCAAAGGGGGAGCAGCGCTTTCCTGGGCAGCCCAGAACAATCATTTGCATGTCATTTGTCAGCTCCCTATTGTCCAGAGACCCCAGCTAACCCCTTCCCCAGATACCCCCAGCTGCTCAGCTTCTGTGCAGGAGAAAGAAAAGGCCAGCTTTCCCCCCTCTGAAGTCCCCTGCCTGGGACTTCGGGGCTGGAGGCAGAAGGGGAAGGCCCCTGGGACTAGGGCCAAGTGGTAAGGGAAGATAGAACCAGCTTGGGGCGGGCCACAGGTACAACTCCTTGTAAGGCTCTCTCTGGCCACTGCGGTCTACACAAGGCTGCCTGCCCAACAAAAGGGAATATACTTGTGGTGACTGTGCCTGACCTGGACAGCTCTGCCCCAAACCGCCTTTCCTGGAGAGCAGAAATGGAAAGGAGGAGACACTCCCTGTGGGCCAGCCCCCCTAATCCTGATGGCACAGGGTGATCCAGAGGAGGGCCGAGGCCCAGGGGACCTTGAGTGAGGAAAGCAGCCTGGCTGTTATCCTAACTCATGATCCTGGAAGATATGGTCCCAGCAAGTTTTTCTCAATGATCAAGACTGATGACACAATGATCTCGTTCAGAGCAGGTAATGTCCACAGCTGATGAATAAAGTGTAGTATACCTGTATGATGGAATGTTACAATAAAAAAGAATGAAGGCAGCTCGGCGCCTGTGGCTCAAGCGACTAAGCCGCCAGCCACATACACCTAAGGTGGCGGGTTCGAATCCCCAGCCC